AAATCAAAACACCTATAGAAAGCAATTGCTTCACAAATGGCCAAGAAGTGTGTCTTGTTACCTGTGTTCATAGAAGGGACACTTTAAATCACAGTGAGCACTTCCTTGTGAACCACAGAATTGCAAAATTCTTGAGATTTTGAAATGGGTGGGGAAGGGAATAAGGGAGTTACAAAGAAAAGATCCCTTGTAATTAAGTTTATTAGGTTTTACAACGGGGGCTAGTCAGAAAAGAAAACTTCAACTTCTAAGGATAGAATGAAAGGATTAGGATTTAAGTTTGTAAAGATAAATTTAAGAAATGAGAAGATAGGATAGCCCATGAAAATGGGTTTAACCATTACAGACTGTACCAAAGTATAATAAGAAAGTGTTGTTTACGATTCAAAGGGTTTTAAGACCAGTGGCATTTCTAGAAACATATCCTAACCAATTAATTTTGGATGCAAGTGAAGATTTAGCTAAAGGAATATTCACTGAAGCCTTGTTTATACTATCAAAAGTTTGGAAATGACCAGAATACTCAATTGAGATTAAACATTGTTCCATGAATACAATAGATATTTAATATACAGATATTAAAAGTGTTTTTTTTTAAAGATTATTTAGTTGTATGGAAACATGTGTCCAGCAAATCACTAAGTAAAAAAAAACATGTCTCAAAACTGAATGTGCACTATGACAACTTGTTGTAAATTTTAGGAAATAAAATTAAATATGCATATACATACGCATATAAACTTAAATACGTACACCCAACATACACACAATATGCATAGAAAGAAAAACTGGACATTTATATACAGCAAAATGTTAACATTTGGTGATTATCTCTTGAAAGATTTGTTTCCTTTTTCTGCTCAATTTTCCAAATGAATATTTGTCACTTTCATAAGGAAAAGAACAATAAACATTTTACATGTATATATAATCATTAAAAGATCACTAGGTGGTTATCTTTCTTATCGCTCTTTAGAATATTGAAGCTATATGGGTCAAAAGCACACAGAAGTTCAAAGAATTAATTGAAATAACTCCATAAAAAGTAAGAAATATTTGCAGAATGTCTTAAACATGTTTAAAGTTGCTGTCGTAGGCGTGGCAATCCCCTTTCATAAAACCTCCTGAACAGTGCAGACAGGAAGAACAGGAACTGAGACAAGAAAAGGAGATTGCTGTCATGGTCGAAGGCTGGAAAACAAACTGAAAGGATTATCAGTCTGACCCAGTGAGGTATTTCTGATGTTCTCATGTTTTCAATCACTCCACTAACTCACTTACCTGATACTGATTATACACAAAGCTTGGTAATAGTGAAACAACAGTTGAGACAGTGTTTTACATATTCTATGGCATTTCATTTTTCTACTTATTTGTACTATACAACTCTGGATTTTTCTACAACAGTAAATGGACTTATGTTCTTAATTTCCTCCTCTCAGTATCCATTTATACTTTTTGTGTTTGTCCTTAACATTTTACTGAAAACACTCCGGTTACAAGTGACCTTTCCTTGGGTAAACATTGTGGCTTTAAAAAAATGGTTTTCAGTTTATCTTGACCTCTCTATGAACACAGAAGCAATCACTGGTGCATGATTGTTCTGATTTGCATTCTACCCTTTCCTTTTCATCTTTCTTTTGGATAGAGGTTGGGATTCCAGTCCTTCTTTGCCACTAAGATCTGCATGATCTTGGACAAGCCACTTTGTCCTAGTGGGGTGTGACTGATATATGTGAAACCACTCTGTAAATTGCAAAGCATTTAAAAATATGATCATTGAACTATGAACTAGATGATCTCTAAATTTCCCTCACAGTCTAAATTTTTTATTCTATACTTCTATTATATTTTTAGTGATTTCATCTGATCCAGGAGTCAGGAATTGCATTTTGGCACATTTTAGAAGATTCCTTCCATTACACCAGAGTTGCTGCTGATTCATTAAGTACAGAATGATTTGTAACTTTAAAATAGCAGCACTAAAAACAGATTATTCTTCAATTGCTGAGGCTGAAAAGTTACCACAAACATTAAATAAACATTTTAAGGAAAAGGCTGTCATAGCCAAAACCTAAAAACTTCATTTTCTGCCATAAAAAAAAATCCTAATGAGCCAAGGTTCTTGTTCACTAAGCCGAAGAATGAGCTCCACGAACACTCAAGGTAGGAGAGCAAGGTGCAAGGCTTTTATTTAGAGATAAAGTGAAAGGACAGCGCTCCTGGTTCATGCCAGGAGGGGACGAGAGTCCAAAGTGGTGCGTTGTCTAGGGGTTTTATAGGCAGTTGACGATTTTTCAAGAACATGTACAAAAGCTTAGTGGTGTGGACTTACTAAGTGGTCTCAGAATATTTAGAATTAACTTAACACAAGTAACTTCCTGCTCTGATGATTTCTCCCTGAGATACCGGCATCTTGGTCTGGAGGCATATGAAACAAGGCCACCTGCTCAGCCCACAAGGTGGGCTGAGGTATTGTTTGCTAAAGAGTAAGTTAAGAATTTTTAACGTCTTAACTTCTTAGGTATTAAAATGCAATCTTATCTTTAAGGTGGAATCCTTCTTGCCTTTTACTGTGTTATTTATGCCTGGGCTTACTTGCTAAATTAGTTTGCCCAGTTTGCAAAATCACTTTATCAGATCTGAAGGAGGAAAGACAGCACAGAGGCCTCGGCTTTTTAGCATGTTAAAGTGAATCTTACACATGATTAAAATGATTAGCATAAGATAAACATGTGCTACTCTTCTTTATCTGGGGTATATTAACTGATATCACTGAAGAATGACTCGAAGTTTTAGTAGGGGGTTTCCTTGCATGTAGTTACATTGCTCTGTCTGCAAATATCCTGCCTTGCTTTTTCTGGAGGCCCTCACCCTACTCTGACTACACTTACGGTCCCTGTCTCACTAACTTTTGCCCTTCTTAAATCTGACAAATTTAAATCTTAAGGTAGACTCAACAGAAATTACATCTGAAAAGGCTAAAACCTCTCATACAGCTTTTTAGTACATTTTGCAGGACATTGTCAGTGCTGGAATAGTGACTTCAGAAGGCAGAAAACAAATGAGATGATACACACCAAATATATATATAAAATCACAGAATTTCACAGTTGGAAGGGCTTTTGTAAGTCATTTAGGCTAGTGGGTCCCAGCGTGTGGGATTTCAAAAGCTTATGAAGTTAACAAAAAAAAGGGAGAGCAGACTAAAGTATCAACATTTAATTTTGTCAAATAAGGGTATTAACAACCAACCAATCAACCATCTACCATCAGCACCATTTTATAAAAGGGTGTTTTAATAACACTGCGGTAGGAAGATAAAAATCTCAGAATAAAGTACAATTTGAAATTAGATAAATGAAAGAAAAATGCATTACACTGCTCTTACTTTTCCAGTCTCTCTATGGAAAACTGTTAGCCTTGCCCATGCCTATACAAAGACCTTTGGGAACCCCTCATCTAGACCACTCCATGCACACCTCTAACCCCTCTCCCCTCAATCCAGCATTGCATCCTCACCACACCAAAAAATACCTTTAAATGTATAAAACCCACCCATTTATGGGGAACTTTGCAAGCTGAGGAACCTGTAAAATTTTGAATGGCTGTGGCAGAAATCAGCACCTTCAAGATGTTAGCTGGGTTTTTTTTGTTTTTTTTTTTAAGATCAGATTCCAACAGCGGAGAATTTTAAGCAGGCCAAACATGTCTAAGAGTCACCAAAGGACAATGTCTAATGTCTAACAGAGCTGGTTTGGCAGTCAGGCAGCCTGGGTGTTGGTAGTGCCTCAAAACTTCATTCTAAACTTTAGCGGAACTCTCTTCTCCTCTGTTTTCAAATTCCAGACATTTAGAGCTTTATGAATGTAAATATTGAAGTCAGAAAACAAGAGTAACACGGAGGAATTTTAGTTATCTTCCAGGATGATCCCCATTACTAATTACTTGATTGGCTTTCAAAGTTGCAGTTAAGTCTACGTTTTTTTTTTTTACCATTTACATTTTAATGAAATTATTTTATTTAGGATAGAAATTCTGTTTAAATTTTTGCAGATGAGATTCGATTCATCCATCATCAGGGTTTGATTCGTATCACAGACGACGGCATCGACAATGTAGTTCTTTCATGATCATCATTACTACTGTGCCCTGTTTTCCCAGGTAAAATTTTGTAAACTCAAATGTGGTCATATTTGATTCTTTGACCGGTTTTTACTAAGAAACTTCACTGCGTAGTTTTAAACGTCTATTTTATGTTATTTCTACGCCGCCTTTTTTGGTCAATACTGCAGTTTTCAGTACAAGGCATGACTTTTTCAGAATTTTTTGAGGGGGAACGGGTATAACAACTTCTGCGAGTTTTCTCACGGTTGTAAATTTCGTTTTCTGTTGACTATATATATCTGCCACTAAAATTACGAATCAGGATGTTAAGATTTTTTTCTTGGGGATCAAATATATCAGGACGATACAAAAACATAGGGCGGCAGGGTAATTTGTTTTCGCTCTTTTCCCATTCTGTAAAAAGGTGTTTTCCAACATTCCGTATAACACAGAATTCTATTTATTAAGACTAATTAACTAGCAGTTAAAATCGGGAGCCCTGAACAAATCCAGACGTCCCAGGACTGCTTTTCTCTTTCTCTCCGCTAGAGGTGACAGTCTCCCTCAAAACAGAAATTGGGCTGGAATAGGCCGGTCTGGGGGAGTGGTCCCAGTAAAGATCAAAGGTTAAGTCGCCTCAAAGAGCAACTCAAAGGGAGTCGTGAAGCACCCATCTTACAAGGTGACCCCTTCCTAGCATGTTCTGGAGACCTGGGGACACACAGGCTTTCATAAAAACGGCGCATTCGAGGTGACCAAAACACAGATTGCACAAATGTAACAGCCAACGACCAGAAGTGGAAGTAAGCCGGGGCGGGGGTGAAGAGGGTCACATCACGCCTGCGCACTCAGCAGGTTTGCAGTACGCATGCGCAGTTGGGCGGTGACGCGCCACGCCCGAAGCGTGGGCCGCGACTCTCATGGATCCGGTTCCGCCCTCCCTTTAGCTGCGGACCCTCCGGGGCTAGAGTCTGAGATCCCTTTCCCAGAGTGCCCTGCGCCGTAAAGAAGCGGCTCCCGGGGACTGGGGGCATTTTGTGTTGGCTGGAGCCGGAGTAACAAGATGGCGGCGTCGGCCGAGTGACAGGCGTCCCTGCGGGCAGGAGCCGGCGGCAGTGGTAGCAGCGGTATCGTCGCCCTAACTCACCGCACCCCTTTTCCTGCCCGCGACGTCGCCGCAGAAACGAGGCCGCGGCGGCCGCCCAGAAGCAACTGGCTCCGACTTGGTAACGACGAGAACCCCCTCACAAACTGCGGCCCGGCAAAAAGAAACCTGACTGAGCGGGGGTGATCAGGTTCCCCTTTGCCGATTCTGGGCCGGTCAGCGTTTTCCATTTTCTGCCGCCCTCCTGCGCAGCCTTCCTCGGTAGACGAGCCCCAGGGGCCTCAGTCCTCCTCACAGAGGTGTCGGGGCTTGGCCCCAGCCTCCATCTTCGTCTCTCAGGATGGCGAGCAGCAGCGGCTCCAAGGCCGAATTCATCGTCGGAGGGAAATACAAACTAGTACGGAAGATCGGGTCTGGCTCCTTCGGGGACATTTATCTGGCGATCAACATCACCAACGGCGAGGTAATCACCCAGGGTGGGGTACCTGACCGCGCTGCGCTTGTCTTCACCCCCCACACCCCCAAACTGCTCGGGCCTGTTCCCACCGCACGCACTGGGGAGTCCAGAGGGAGCCAGATTTCCTGCCCCAGGAACCTCCCTCGCGCTCTTTCCCTAAAAGGAAAAGAAGCCGGTAGAAAGATTTAACAGTGAAGTTACCCGGCTTGTTAAAAATGCACCTTAATCGAACTTTTTCAAAACCATCGTTTAAGGTAAGAATGGCAAAATCCTATTTCTGTGTTCCCTATATTTTCTATATATTTGATTTTTGGGGGGTTCTTGTTCCAATTGGCGGCACTTTGGTCTCGGTTCCTTCATAACATCTCATTACGTTTTCTGGATGAATCATTTCCCTGCACTTAAGAGGACGTCCAGATTTCGTCACTATCCCCTGAAGAGGCCTTTGAGGCTGGTTGCCTCATTTTATTATTACAAAGAGATCTCTCTCTTCCCAGGCTGTCATTCTGCCTTCTAGTCCCGAGTCGGAGCTCTGCTAATGTCTCTCCCCTCCTTTCCCAAGTGACACTGAATCCATAGAGATGTTGATGCCATTATCCCCTTTATCTCCTGCAGGAAGTGGCAGTGAAGCTAGAATCTCAGAAGGCCAGGCATCCCCAGTTGCTGTATGAGAGCAAGCTCTATAAGATTCTTCAAGGTGGTGTTGGCATCCCTCACATACGGTAAGAACCCATAGGCAGGCAGGGCGATCCACTGAAGAAAGCACGGATTGCGGAAAAAGGGATAGAGGCAGTAAACAGCTGAATTCGGGGCTGGGTAACTGAGTTACCTGGAAGGCAGTGCTTTCCTATGAACCGTAAGTCACCACATTCACTTGGAGTAAATTTTGCCTTGCCGAGTTAGTTAAGGATTTTAGTTTGTTATACTCAGTTCCATTTAGCTTCCCTCATTCTTCCCGGGCTTTCATTTGCACCTAACTGTGAGGGTGATCGTTGATCCCTGCGGGGTAGGGCTGGCTGCTTTTTTCTTTACGCCGGCAGCTCGGATGTTCTTAGGTTTGTCCCGGGAGTGGAAGTGGATTTGCAGGTGCCGAAGGGAGCGGGCTCGACCAGTTGGGGTTGCTGGTGGAGCTGGCTTGGGAAATGGCTGCTCTTTTGTTGTGTTTTTGTTCCAACATGTCTTCCTCCTCCGCTTAGAAAATGGCGGAACGACGCGACTCAAGACCACATTCCTGCCCTTTTTTCTGCTTGGGTTCCCAAGTTGTGCTTCCTTGATACCCATTGAGCAGCCCTGAATGGATTAAACCTTTTAAAAGGCACGAATAAAGCTGCAAGGAGGCGGCGGGGTTCAAGGAAGGAGATGCCATAATGACAGTCTGATCTCTGCCGCAGATGCGATCTGAAATTGTTAGATTATGCAAAGCAAAATCCTTCACAATCCTTTTAAAAGTGTTAATTTTTCATGGGTGGTGAAGTTTGCTGCCCTTCAGTCTGTACTAAGTTTTTACGAATAACGGTAAAGGCAGCTTGAGCAGCACGAACTGTTGAAATTTAACTGAAGTCAGATGTATTAAAAGAAAGCTTAATCACTCACGTACCACAGTTTGATTAAGTGTCCATAACCTGTTGAGTTACTTAGTTATAACTCACGTGTCAGGGAAATTGTGACCCTTTTGCAGGTGGGATATTGGTAAAGGCAAATAGTAATAGTAACAGGGATAAAAAATGACCAGATAAAGACATTGGGTTCTTTTAAATGGTTAACTCTGAGGGGTTTTTGAGTAGTTTGACTTGTGAGATTAAAGCACAGTGACTATATATGAGTCATAGATACTATATAAGACTATTAGAGACTTTTTAATTTTTACATTAGGGACTAAAATAGTTTAAAACCCAGCCATTTTCCAACAATTACTCATACAATATTGGCAAAAAGATCTAGAATAAATAAAAATTAAGTGTAATGGTATTTACCCTCTTTTTCCGTTCGAGTTTCTATTCTTCAAATCTTAAGGACTGGATTATATAAATTTTGATGTGTAAACAAACAATACCACTATCTTTAAAATATTTCCAGTGCTGATAGGTATTTTTTATGGAGAAGTAAATGATAAAATGTTCTATTAGTTATAAGTGATAAAATATTTGAGAGAAAATTCCAGCTTTATTGAGGTAGAGATTAAGGTGAATCAGATTTTAAATGATTCCCATCCTTCCCCCAAAAAACACTGCTGTGTTGGAAAAAATTTGTAACTGTGTAAAAATCTTCATTAAAATTTAACTTTTTTTTCTTTTCAAAATAAAAAGATTTTGCAATAACCTAAATTTTTAACACTCCTTTCCCTTTGCGTTTAGTCCTATCCACTCCTGGCCCCTACTGATTTACTTTCCATTACTGGTTTTTCCTAGAATTTCATGTAGATGCAGCCATGCAGTATGAGGTCATTTGTGTCTGGCTTCTGTCACTTAGCATAATGCTTTTGAGATCATGTTTGGAGGTTTTATGAATTTCAGAAGTCAGGTTGAATTTAATGTATTTGAAGGTAATTTTTAAAAAGTGCTAAGGATCTGGCATTTTCAGTGCTAAACGCAAATTAAGTACATGCCCTTTAATCTGGTAGCTTGTATTTAAGGACAACACTAACAGAAACCAGCAAGGGCAGTAGTTAATATACTGAAAAAGCACATGAATAAATGAGATTAATTTATGAGCAAAATAATAGGCATCTATTAAAAGATGTTGAGTTCAGAGAGTTGTGGTAGTTAACTTGTTTGTGGGTGGAGCTAATGAGAGATTAACCTGGCTTTCAAGTTAAGGCTTCCTGGGAGAGGAGATGGGAATTCAGGATCTGGCTCTAAGGAAGAAAGCCTGGTGAGCTGGTTGGGGAGGGCATCCAAGAATAGCGTGGCTTCTGGGAGTAGTCTTAAGGTACAGTGTAGTAATTGGATGAAGGTGGGGAAAGTAAATTTGTTTTAGGAGTGGTGGTGGTGTGGTACCTAGAAATAAAGGTGGTTGTTTAGTTTTGAAGTGTGAGAGAACTTTTTCCACGGAAGCAGAAAGGATAAAAGACTTCATTAGCATTCTTTATTTGGGTAGGAACATCTACCCATCCCGTTTGTGCCCCACTATTTCCACATCATCTATATATAGTATACACTCAATAATGTATGCACTTGGTAAATATTGGATTAAATTGACTTTAACTAGATTAAATAAGGCAGTCTGTGTGTATCCATTGTTGTAGAAGTGATAACACTAATTTTTAAAAATCAGGTTCTGCTGCATTTGCACTCATTCCTCACCCCAGCTGCCATTTTCTTTTAAGACACTTTGGGTTATCCTAAAAGGGGCTGAAAATCACCTGGCTTACTTAGCAGACCCCATTAATCCTTGTCCCCACTACAAAAGGGCTTTCTGAGGGATCTGTTACACAGAAGCGTAGGAGTCCAGTGTTAAGAAGCAAGAATAAGAGGATGTCATTCAGTCTCTTGATGTTTTTAAGAAACGAAGATCCTTTAAGAAGCTAAAATCTTTGGACCTTGTGAATTGACATCTGCGAGCTTGTTTAAAATTAATGTATTTTTGTTACAGCCCTTCCTTTGTGTCTATTTGAACTTAATGCTCTCAAAAGAAGTGATTATGATATAATCATACTAAAATCTGGGATCTCTCAAGCCCTTAACAAGACTCTTTGGGCCTATCAGTTTCCTCATCTGTGAAATAAAAGAATTTTACCAAGTTAGTATTGATTTAACTGTTGGAGTGGCAGGGGAGAGTGCTGGACAGAAAGGTTTAAGGTTTCCTATTCTGCTGGAAAAACAGTTTTGCGTGCTGAGCTTTTGGGTATGGTTTGGTTGAACACGGTTCCTTACTTAAGTAAAAGTAACTGGCCTAGTTGATCTCAGAGATTTCAGCTCTGAAATTTTAAGCCTTTGGATAATAATAGCTAGAAAGCCATTTCATCACAGTTTGATGTTATGTCTAGATCTTAACCTTTATTATTTTGGTAATGACATGCCACTCAAGATCATGGGTTACCTACCATTTAGAAGAAAGGCAGTAAAGGGAATAATATATACTTCTACACGGAAATCATGAGAGAAGGTATTGGGGCATGGGAGACTTGTTGCCTTTTTAACCACTTTTTTTTTGCCCTCTGAATGTGGGGTATTCTAGAAGGTACTTATAAAATGCTAGTTAATTCTTACTCTTCTGTGTTAAAAGCAGTTTATATTTTAAACTTAGCTTTTGGCGTGTATCTTGTGAATAAGTTCTGATGCTGTTATCAGAGAACCAAGGTGGCATCGCACTGGTTGTGTCTTTATTAGAGATACACTTTGCAGATCATGGGATGCATGGGAAATGTAATTAACTCAGGGTAACTGAATCCATGGTATACTAATGGGGCTTTAAATTAGCTTAAAATGAATTCTAATTAGGGAATAGAAGGTGGCATTTTTGAGCTGAATGAGACCTGATAGAGCCCAACATCTCATAATAAAGACTATTGAGTCTCGGGGGTTACCAGAGTCCCGTAACTCCCATTTTCCTGTGAGCCATGTTCACCTTTATGTCAGGGTCAAATCATGCCTACTCACATACCCCCACACCTTTCCATTTGGTGGTGGAAAGCCATACTTCACCTTGAAACATTGGGTGGGCCTCATGCAGAGAAACTGAAAAGCTCTTCCTGTGAATGTAAGCAGCCTATTGTTTGTTATTATTTAACCAGGTGCTTGTAATTCCTACCCCCACCTTCCCCCACCATTTGCTGGCCTTGCTTGCCCTGACCTGTTAACTCTGTCTCTCTCTCCTCTCTCTCTCTCTCTAATCCAAGGATTTGCACAGGTTGAGAATTTTTGTTGGACAAAAATTAATTAGTATCTTAAATTGGAGTAAATACTTGTGAACCCATGTATAGTATATGGATTTAACTACCTTGGTTTTAGTTATGTTTAGAACTAAATCATTTTGTTTCAAAGTATATTTAAGGTGTACCTAAAGTATTATTTAGCTAGGTTTTCTCATGATCTGTCAGTGTTTATTAAGAAACTTTATTGTCAAGAAGATCTGTAAAGAGAAACAACTAGAATTTGAAACATGTTATAAATTGAACCTTGAAAGCTTCTGTAATGCTCTTAAAATCAGCCTTGTTCCAACGCTTTTTCTCAGGTTAAATGAGTGCCTTAATAGCATTCATAATATAAATGAATAGTTTAAGTGATGTTTTTTTGTTACTGTTTTTTGTTTTCAGTATTATCTGGGATGGCTTTTGAAATTTTAAATGACTAGTAATCATGTAACATGAACTAATGCATGTCTTAATGAGATGTAATTTACATGCAGTAAAATGCACAGATGTTTATGTGCCATTGAATCAGTTTTAGGAAATGCATACACTGGTAACTCACACCTAATGAGATGAAGAAGAAAAATATATATTTTTAATACTGCTAATCCTTAGTAACCTACAGTCTGTGACAACATAGGTTTGTTCTGTTTGTTAGTTTTTTAATCATATTTACATATTTTTTTCTGGATTTGATGTTTATTTGTCCACAAAAAGACAGAATCTGTTTATCACCATGAAGAACACTAAGACTTAATAGAATAATCAGGTGAGGGTGGGTGAGTACTTGGTGGCAGTTGAGATCTTTATCTTCACCTTTGAAGAACTAGAATACTGCCTTTTCCTCGTCTGTAAGTCATCAGTGAGTGGTTG